CACACTTGCACTCATGTTACTGTATCAAATAACATAAGGTCTGTACAAAGTAACTTGTCTTGGCTGTGTTTTAGTCAACTAGTATTTTGTACAATGCTGTCACATTTCAATTGTATATACATTATTGCTATTTATAAATAAGTTCTTAAACTTATTTTTCCTAAAATATAGAACAGTAAATAAAGAAGTAAAGCAAACAATTATCTCTTCTAGGTACAACCTTTGTACTCAGTTGCTGCTTAATTTAGGTTGCTAAGCCTTTAAAAATTTTGCATGTGGAGGACATCAAACAAAATATTTTTTTTTGGTTTTATATATACTTTTGAGTAACTAACAAATCATAAATTACTACATCAATACCCTAGAATTCTACTATAATTTATCAAACTTAGTAACTAAGTTGTATTTGGGTCTAAAAAAATATCAAATTTCGAGCAGACTAAAGACACAACCTACCTCATTGAAATCTTGGTTTAAAAGAAAGAAATGGTGCTAGGTACATTAGAAAGCCTGAGAAAACCACTAGGGGGACAATTTGAGCTTCTGATTGGTTATTCATGTTGTATATAGAAGTAAGTGTTTATAAGGGAGAGTTTCCAAAAATCGAAGGAAGTGAGCAGGGTGCCACAATGTTTGATTTATTATGTGAGCAATATCTTAGTAAATAGAAAAGATAAGACCTTATTCTATATTCTAGCTTGTCAGAATCTGTAATTTGAGTTTCTAATTCGTATGAAACTATAGACGTAGTATTTTGACTTCACAAACATCTAATTTGAACTAATGCTGCATTAACATACCATGTGTCACACAAAAATCAAGGTTTATCTGTGTTTTTTAATATTTACTTTTAAATTAACAAATTGAGTAATGTATAGTTCTAAAATTTTAATTATAATCTACAGTTTGATACCAAACCTATTGACATAAATTCATGAAATAGTAGTTCAGTGAAATTTTGAATGCAAGTCAACAAACGTGATGACATGGCCTTTGCCATGTGACCTGCCACAATAGGGTTAATTAATCCACTTTACTATCAATATATGTCCAGGAAATAAATAATGATAATGTATGTTATAATTACAATGTTTATGTTACCTAAGTTATAATTCCTTTGTTTCAAAGGAAACATTTAAACCAAAATACTTAAACTGCAATATTCTTGTCATGTGATCTATGCGCTACAAAAATATTTTAGCAGTAGTTCACTCTTAGCC